ACTACTTGAGATTGGTATTTTCTGTGGTTATGAGAATTTAGTCATGTGTTACGACAGTTCTCTTGAAATGAGCTAAGTAAAAAGGTTTCTATATGATTAAGTATCTACCCTATCAGTGGTTCGAGAGTTATGAGGAAATTCTTGTACTATCGCGTATTGGCATGTAGGCACAGTGAATGACATGGGAATTGGAAGTTGAGTATCAAGGTTGTCGTTTGGTATTGATAAGAATGTCACAAGCTCGGACGAGCAGAAAAGGATTTAGAGGTTTAAGGCAAGTTGGTATTGTCTTCAGCGTCACCTGAGATCAGTGTCATGTGTAAGAGGCTTTGTGTATTGATTTGTGGATTCTTGATTCGCTTTATAGCATTAGTATGGCCGGTGGTATAGGTGTGCAAATTTGTTACCTAGTGCGGAAGGTCATGGGAGCGTATTCCACTAGAAGATTATATAAGTGTGACTTGTAATCACTTAGTTGATCAAATATTGGGACCAAGTACGGAGATTGTGGTGTTATCGTTAATGTGAGAGAGTTTAGGCCTGAAAGGCGCTCTATTTAGTCGGTTATGAACTGTAGAAGTTTGTTTCGGATTCGACGGTTGCTCTTATGTGCCATGAATAGGTCATTGTGGGTCCTTGAGAGGTCAATTGCCCAAGCATAGTATGATCAGAATCGGATGAGGTCCGTTGATGGGTCCAAATGTGGATGTGTACTCTACACCATCCTGGGTGTGTTCATTCAGCATAGCACTCCTTATGGAGGAGTATTCGGACGCTGGATGTTATTTCATCGTCGGCTATTTCATGTAATACTCTATTGTACCGTATGGGATGTGAGACGGCTCGAGTAATTGCACATGTGTTGAGGTTCCGAGTGGTGATGGTGTAATGTGAGCAGGATGGCTCTCGAGATGCAGATCATATATCGTACCTTTTTCGTGCTTGAGCTTTGTAGCGTATGGGGCTATATATCCCCCCCAAGGATTTCATTATGCACTTCGCGTGCTTGTGGTTGATATTCGAGTATTTCACAGGTATGAGCATTTTAGCTCGATAAGTAATTCCTTTATAGATTATTATGTGTCGATCGGGTGGCACGCTGCTACGGGTACATTGTTTGGATCGGGTGTCACGCCGCCACGGGTATCATGGTTGGATTGGGTTGCACGCCGCAACAGTGTGATGTTAGTTAACAGTTTCCCATATCTATTCTTGTGTGTTTTGTTTCTCATTTTCTGAGGAAGGATCATAACATCTCGGATGCTAATTAGTTACGTGGGTTGAGTACTTCTTTCTAAAGTTCATTTTTCCCTTTGATATCACATTCGAGTTTGTAGCTTGTTGGCACATTGTGGCATTCTATGAGACTTTGGTAGTGTCTGAGGTGGCTTATTGCCCGAGCAACTTATACTGGGTGAGACAAGATTATTGGACCTGGGATCGGTGCGATTGGGTTTATATGAAGTACATTAAAGAGCAATTACCATTATTTGGTTCATAATGAGGTAATGGTTCTTGTCAAGAGGAGGAACTCAATGATTTGCTGACTCGGCAATTGGTTATAAACTTCTACACATCTCTTCCGTCATGGTAGTATTGCAAGAGTTGGAACATGACTTATATGTGTCATGAGGTGTACTGTGAGCATCGGATTTGTGGAATTTTGGCTATCACTATTAGAGGATGTTGTATGGTCATGTGAATTATGCGAGGCATAGTGTGGATTTAGCAAAAGTATGCAGTCATGTATTGGTGCATCATGTAGTGATTGATACGGTGTTCGAATGAATGAGACAGCCCTGGCAGAAAATTCAGGATGTTAGAATTTGGCTCTAAGGCTAATTTGACTAAACAAAGGGGGAATCTTCAAATTTTCTCGAGCAAATGTGCTCAATTGAGTTGTGGTAGCACGGGTAGGTGCACAAGGTGTTAAACATTGATTTCAGACAACTCCAAAGCAGTTCTTAGCATGTTTGAGGATGAATGAATGTTTAAGTGGGAGAGAATGTAACGACCCGACCAGTTGTTTTGAGCTCTAGCATGTCGTTCGGCGGTTTGAGGCCATGAGCAACTTCACTTCAGGTATCATGACTTGTACGCGTGGTCGGAATTGAATTTCGGGACGTTCGAAGTTGATTTGGAGAGAAAATTCTCATTTCAAAAGCTTTAAGTTGGAAGAATTCACTAAGGCTGGATTTGTGAGTAAACGACCTCAGAATCATGATGTGAAGGTTCCAACAAGTTCGTATGATGATTTCAGACTTGGACATATGTTCGGTTCGGGTTTTGGATGACCCGGGAGTGTTTCGACGCCTATTGTGGAAGTTAGCATTTTGGAAGAATTTCATAAATTTGGGTTAAAGTGCATTTCAATGTTATCGAGGTCCGTTTGGGATTCTCAGTCTAGGAATAGCTCCATATGGTGATTCTGGTATTGGGAGCGCGTCCGGAAGTGGATTTGGAGGTCCGTATGTCATTTTGGGGTCATTTGGCGAAAGTTAGAAATTTGTAGGCTTTTGAGAAGTTTGACCAAAGTGGACTTTTTGATATTGGGGTCGTATTTCGATTCTGAAAGTTGGAGTAGGTCTGTAATGTCGAATGTGACTTGTGTGCAAAATTTAAGGTCAACCGGATGTGATTTGGTAGGTTTCGACATCGAATGCAGAAGTTTGAAGTTCTAAAGTTCATTAAGCTTGAATTGGGGTGCATGCACGAATTTGACGTTGTTTGATGTGATTTAATGCCTTGACTAGGTTTACGTTATGTTTTAGAACTGGTTGGTATAATTGGACGGGGTCTCGGGGGCCTAAGGTGGATTCCGGGTGGTTAACAGATCGAATTTGAAATTTGAAGAAGAATTGAGGCAGCTGATATCTGGTGTAACCGCACTTGCGAGGTTTTGGCCGCAGGTGAGGAGTTGCAGAAGTGGCCTAGGAGTCACAGAAGCGACCTGAGAGTCGCAAAAGCGGAGTGGGGTAGTCAGAGGAAGGACTGCAGGTGCGGAGTTTGGGCCGCATCTGCGCAAGCGCAAAAGCGAAGAAATGGGCGCAGAAGTGGAAGAGGACAACAGGAATGGGATTTTGACCACACATGCGGAGCCACATAAGCGGTTGTTGGTTCGCAGGTGCAAAAGTCGGCTGGGCAGTGAGGTTTCTTTAAAGACGGGACTTGGCCAATTTTTCTTCCATTTTTCACTTGGTGGAGGCGATTTTAGAGAGCTTCAAGGAGGGATTTTCTTCAAGCAATACAAGGTAAGTGATTCCCACTTATTATAAGTTGAATACATGGTTTGTATAAAGATTTAAACATGGAAATTAGTAGAAATTGTGGGGTGTTGGTAGAAAACCTAGAATTTTATTATTTTTGGATTTTGACCACGTATTTAGGCATGAAATTGAGAATAACCCATATATTTGAGTTTGCAACGTTATGGGTAATGTTTATCTTCGAAAAGTTTCAGAATCCGGGCACGTAGGCCCGGGGGTGATTTTACCGACTTTTTGAGCGGAGTTGGAAATTATTGTAAATTGATTTGTTATGAGTATTAGAGTATATTTTCATTGGTTTGCACATTATTTGATTAGTTTAGGAGCGTTGGGCATCGGTTTGAGGTGTTAGAGTGGCGTTGGAGCCGATTATGGAACTTCAGAGTGAGGTAAGTCTCTTGTCTAACCCTATGAGGGAGAAATTACTCCTAGGTGTTGTAATTGATATTTGCTATTTGTTGCGGGGGCCTACGTACGCATGAGGTGATGAGAGTCTATATGTAGCTAAGTTCATGTGATCGTTCGGGTAGACTTAGGTTCACATCATGTTATAGTTGTGCTATTTGAGCAGTCTCTTGCCTATTTAATTCTTCCATTTTACATTACTACTTGAGACTAGACGGGATATTGTAGAGATTCACGAGTTTATGATTAGTCATTGAATAATTGTACTCATCTTACGAAATAATTCCGCGATATATATGTTTTCACTGAAAAGTTTTATTAAAGAAATTATAACTCACACGTTTATTCGTGAGTGAGGTTAAGGACCGTTAAAGCTTCTTATTCTTATGGGATTGGGTCGTTCGCTTCAGCAGGATTATGTATTTTACTCTTATGGGATCGGACCGTTTGCCTCTGCAAGATTTATGTACCACACTCTCATGAGAGCGGGTCGTTCGCCTCGGCAGTTAAATAGATGCATCAATGGTTCATGTCATTCGACCCTCGGCAGTGCACAGTTTAATTATTATGTTAGATCGGGTCGTACGACTCGGCATTTCCTATAAAAATATCCTCATGAAAATCTTATGTAATATTTGGCAAGACGCCAGTGTATCAGTGTGTTTTTCTGATTTGAATTAAGGCAACCTATCTGATGAGATTCACTATATCCATATATATAAATATGCTCTGGTTAAGGAAGAAATTTCTAATAGGAGAGCTTGAGTTATTACAAATAGGAGGATTGTACCACGTATTTATACTCGTTTATTTTGTTCTGCCTCATATCTGCTTGTCATTTCTGTACCTGATATTATTGGACCGCTAGTAAGTGTCGATGTCGACCCCTCGTGACTACTCCTTCGGGGTTAGGCTAGATACTTACTAGATACGCGTTGTTTTCGTACTCATACTACCCTTGCTGTACATTTTGTTGTACATGCACATGGATGTCTGGTGGCCTAGTGGACGCAACGACATGGTTGATACGGGGACTTAGGTGATCTGCATCTTATATTACGATCTGCAACCAGCAAAGTCTCATTCAAAGTATTTGTATTTTTCTTTCCTATCCAAATTTGCATTCCGGACAGATGCTGTATATTTATTTCATTTTTTCTAGTTGATACTCATGCACTTGTGACACCGAGTTCTGGGATGATTACGAGTTATTCAATATTGAGATTGTGAAAACATTATTATTTATATTGAAATTTCTATTTTTCTACTATTTAATTGAAGGAAAACTATGATTTCAAAAATATTAAAAAGAGAACCAAATTAATAAATTATTGTTGGCTTGCCTGACAGTGGTGTCTGGCACCATCATGACCTTTAATAGATTTTGGATCGTGACAGTAATGTTCACTACCTTCCTATTCAACTGCTCAAACTCATCCACATCAACCGAGCAATGTGAGGAAGAATAAGAACCACACAATCCAGAAGTACGAGGACTGAGACTAAACTCTGATCCAAGGCCGTAGACTCTCCCCTTATGCACGCCACTAGCTGCCTTAATCTACATGTCCATGAGCCCCTCTTGAGTTGGTTGGATTGGCCTACCTTGATCATCAATCGACTGACTTTGAATGAACTCCTCCAAGATTTGTTTGAAATTATTCTGTAAATATATTACAATTATTATAAAAGTAAGTTTTATTAAAAAAAAATATGCAAGTATCTTTATTTCTCAAACTTTAAAGTAAACATGAGAATAAGTGTTGTGCTGTATTTAAATAAGTAAGCAACATGTAATGCACATAACAACTTTCGCCTTTTGTTTTCCCATGTATTTTTCTTTTTCTTCAGAATACACTCATTCCCATGAATTGCCTAATTAAGCACACAAAATTAACACTTCAAGGAGCTTCACGAAAATAGTTCAGCACGGATTTCCCCATTGTAGAAAAAAGGCCCAGTGATATAACTATGAAATGAGTATTATTCTCCAAGAAATATACCAAAGACCTGTAGAAAATAGACCAGTAAAGATAACAAGGAAGAGATAAGAAACCTTATACATAATCAAACACTAGCAGAACAGAACATATCATAAGTTATGGTCAGTAAAGTGGCTAACAAAATCACTGAACTTAATGTATATAAGATATTTAGTCCAAGTGCGAGCATATAATATTATGAAATATTTTGCTTGTTAGATAGAATCAACAATTAGGTTAGGCCATTGACAACACCAATGACAGAAACATTTGCTTCCACAATGCAGCAATCTTTGAAAAGGAAGCCTCTTTTTGGACCATTTAATTCATGTAGCGGCATAAATGCATGCTACCCCCAACTCATTTAGCCAGAAAGTCCTCTACTAACTATTTAAAGACCTTGAGAATATGCCAAGGCAAAGAAGGAAAGATCAGTAGCAGTACAGTACTTTCAAATACCACAGTGATCATTCATGTCCAAATATACACCTTGACATTTCTTTTCATTGACATGGTTTTCTAGCATCCATTTAATTGAAAAATATGGAATATACATCAGAACATACCAATAGGACAAAGGAAAGTGGGATGTTTCAGTTGTTATACTTTTTAGAACTTCTACTGGGTTGATTGAATATGGATATCGGTAGTGCCAAAGGATCATTATCACCTTCACCGTCATGCCGATTTGGCCTATTTCTCAAACATGATGCGTGATGCTCAAAATAATATGAACAAAAATAAGAAGTTTCTTTAACTAGATTGCTTCACATATTGATCCTCCAATTTTGGATTTTGTTTCAGCATCCGTTTACATTTGCCAATAGTCCTACATAGTATAATTTTAGATGGGAAGAAGTGTAATCAAAACACATAAAGGGAAAATAATTAATGATTATTACCTCTCAAATAGATACATCCATCTACATTGAACAGGTCCCTAAGTCGTGCCTCTCTTACAAGATGAACTGGGAGATGTTCCATTACGTTGAAAAAAACACATGGAAAATTTTTTGCCAGTTTGTTTATGACTAAATGGATGTTACTTTCTATCAAAATTAGATTTTTCTCCCTCAATATATTAAAACATAGGTCTTTGAAAAATAAGCTTATCTCTGTGATGGGTTTCTATATTCTCTCAGGCAATGCACTAAATGCAATAGGAAGTAATGATTCCATGAAAATGTGACAACCATGGCTTTTCATATACATCAACTTTCCTTCTTTCATGTCAACACAATTGGATAAGTTTGAAGTATACCCATAGGGCATTCTCAAATTTCGAACCCAATCACAGATCTTTCATTTTTTCATCCATTTTGAATGAATAACTGACCTTAGGCTTCACCATCATGTTATTTTCTTGTCGTAGTTCTAATTCTCTTCGCCTACAGTATTACTGTAAGTTCATCCTGGCCTTCAAGTTATCTTTTGTCATGTTCTTGTTGTCCATTACAGTATGAAATAGGTTATCAAAAAAGTTCTTCTCAACATGTATGACGTCCAAGTTATGTCGAAGAAGATTATGTTTCCAATAAGGTAACTCCCAAAATATGCTCTGTTTAGTCCAATTATGCACAACACCATAACCAGGTAGTTTAAGCAATAGAGACTCTATTACCTTAGGAAAATTCTTAACCCTCTCCCAAATTTCCTCCCCCGACAAGGTTGTTGGTGGCTCATCATAATCTGTTCGATTCTTCATACATGCACTAGCATTTCTCCTGAACTCATGATTCATTGGCAAAAATCGACGGTGACAGTCAAACCATGTATTCTTACCTCCATGTTTCAAAGTGAATGCTTTTGTGTCTTCCATACAGCAAGGGCAAACTAACTTTCCGGCAGTCGACCATCATGATAACATTCCATAAGCAGGAAAGTCATTAATAGTCCATATCAAAACAACACGCAATTTAAAATTTTGTTTAGTTGATATGTCGTATGTTTCAACACCTTCATACCACAATAACCTTAGCTCATCAATCAAAGGCTGCAAATACATATCAATCAAACTTTTTGGATTACTTAGACCCGGAGTTATGCCAGTTAGAAACAAATATGGACTTGTCATACACATCTCTGGCGAAGGATTATACGGTGTAACAAAAATAGGCCAACACGAATATGGTGCAACAGAGACAGAAAAAGGAGTGAATCCATCTCCACACAAACCCAACCTGACATTTTTTGGTTCATTAGCGAAGTCAGGATACATCCTATAAAAATGCTTCCACGCTTCTCCATCTGAAGGATGACACAAAACACCATACGCCCTTCTATTTTCGTAGTGCCTTCTCATATGAGGAGCGGAACTCATTGATGCATACATCCTCTTTAACCTAGGTATAATAGGTAAGTAATGCATCCTCTTAATTGGAACTTTCTTTTCTTTGACATTTGTAACTTCCTTAAAACGAGACAATCCACAAAATTTGCATGTTTCTAGAGTCGCATCATCTTTATAATATAACATACAACCTTTTTCACAACAATCACTTTTTGGTGAGGAAAGTCCTAACTTGAAAACTAACTTCTTAACCTTATAGTAATCACCGGGTAAGTTAATGTTCAAACTAACTTCACCCATAAGCCCAATTATAGAATTCATGGCCGCTTGAGAAATATTCCAATCCGATTTGATAGTTAGTAATCTAACTGCAACAGACAACTCTGAGTGTTGAGCCTTCATAGAGTGGACGACTAGCCGCCTCTAAAAATTCATAAAAGTGCTTTGCCTCATCATTGGGAGACTCGTTAATATTTTGTTGGGATTGAACTTCTAGGTGTATCCCAAAAGCATTCGGCACCATTTCATGCATTTGATTAGTCTCAAAGAATGTACCACTCTCACAACCAATAAGATTCTGAAAGTCAACATCACCTAAATTACTATAGTTCTCTCCATGAACCATCCACACATAATAATTTTTTTGTAAATCCCTTTCTAAAAAGATAAACTTAAACATCCTTTGGTATCAATAACTTTATACAATTGCACTTAGCACAAGCACATCTAATCGTTCCTTCATTACAGAATTCCAGAAGTGTTTTTGCATAAGCAATAAATCCTTTAACACCTTCTACAAATTCTTCCTTCAATCCCCCCGATTAGGATGATTTCTATCGTACATCCATCTACGATCTCGTTCTATCTATTACACAATGACAAGATAAAATATTAAATAAAGAAGTACATAATTTATTTTATTCAATATATACTAATCAGTATTGTATTACATTCTTTTTACTCCCAGTCCATCTTGGCACTTATAGTTAATAGTGAACCATTCTATTCCTTTGGGCATTTAAGTTAAACTAATTAAGTAACTCAAAGGATTGAGCCCGAACAATATTTCATGTCATATATCGGGTGCTCACTGAGTTTGGGAGGAAAACTATTAACTAGCTTGACCTATTCCATTTGCAACTTGTCTTTAAGGGACACTATGGCAAATTGTGCAAGCATGCATATCTCCTTTTTTATGAGACAAGTTTATATGATCAAGTAAACATCGCTTACAAAAGATGTCAAATGTTATCACAAGAATTAAGGAAAAGAACTGATAAGCCTCATATGATGCAGCAACCTTTTGAGAAGTTAAAAAGCGGATTTTTTTACCTTCAATTTATCAGGAAAAAGAAATATCCAAACATTTATAATTTTCAACAAAAATCTAAACTTTATTCCATGAAAGCACTTTTACCCTCAACTTTGCACAAAATCATTAATCTATCCATCTATTTACTCTACAGAAACCACCGACCTTTGCTCCATAGCACCTTTCACCTTAAATTACTACCAACAAGATAAATTTACACATTATGGAAAAAAAAACTTCTACCAAGCTACCCCATCTTACTGAGAGTGCATCTGATCTAACTAAAGAAAACCAAACAAAAATTTCACAATTTACATTTAAAAAATCAGCTTTTTCACGAGCAATCAACTTAATCCACAATGCCAAATCACCCATCACTTAATTCCCACACACACAAAACACAAATATCAAAACCCCGCATACTCTAACAACAGGTCTATTTCATAAATATAAAAGAAAAGACTTACAATACAACATACTTTTTCAACAATATTACATGCCAAGCTAAATATATCAACAACTACTCAGGTTATAACATGTTAACTGAGAACTTACTCACCTATTTGTAGATAGGAGATATGAAGTATATCACTCTAAATGATGGTCGAAAACTTTACCCTGACTAGCGTAACACAGCAGTGCTGGATCCTGAAGATTGTAAGCCCCTTCTAGGTGGGTTGATGTCTTCTTTGAAACAGTATATAATCAAGAGAACAACATTAATTTTTTAAACCTAGGGTTTGAAATAATATAAAATCCCTAAAATTTGAAGTTTTTTGGGGGAAATCAAAAACGAAAAAAGGAAATCAGGTGAGTGAGCGAGAGGGAGAGAGAGAGAGAGAGAGAGAGCGACTTACCTAGGAATGGAGTGAAACTGGTCTGTGCGTGGAGTGAGAGAGACAGAGGGGGAAACCACTAAAAGACTAAGAGAAAACTTATAAAACTTACTCCCTACTGTCCAAAATAAGTTTGGCTTTTTTGTAGTCCAAAATAAGTGATTTTTCCAGATTTTAAGAATAAATTAATTATTTTTTCCTACATTGCCCTTAGAATAAATCGTATTGGAGAATGTGTTAGGAGTATTTATGTGAGGAGATAGTAAAGGTTAATAGGGTCAATTTCATTACTAATTAATGTTAAAAGGTGGATTTCTTAATTTGTGTGAAAATAGCTAAAAAAAATCACTTATTTTGGACCAGAGGGAGTAATAATAATAGGTTTCATACTACTACCGTGGGAAAGTGTTGTGTGAAATATTTTTCATAATTATAAAAAAATTAAAAATTCATAAAATTTCGTACACACGAGTCTGTGGCAATATTTAAAAATTTATTTATTGTTTAAGTTTCCACTATCTTCTCTGAGCAATTATTTTTTTAATGAATTTTTCCACTGAATCAGAGAGAATTAAAACGCGCAAATTTTTGTGCTAAAACTTTCCCACGAATAGTCAATGGGAAATGTTATTTATTTTTTCTGGAACGGAAATTTTAATTTTCCCATTGTATTTTGGTGGGAATTGCCACTGACAATTTTTTCATGGAAAATTTCGTGGGAAAATGCTATATTTCTAGTAGTGGCCTAACCTCGCAATTGTAAGATGTGAGGTCTGCCACTACAACATAATATACCTATAGCTACGAAATCTTAGCTACAGATTCAAAAATTGTGGCTAATACCTAACAATAGCTATAGAAATAAAATTTTCATAGTTATTTATAAAATCACAAAATTTCATAGCTACGAAAATTAAATTAGTAAAGCTAATTCCTTATTTTTGCTATGATTGCTAACTATCGTGGCAATAATTACCTAAATAGCTACAAATTTATTGCTAGAATAATTTTTTGTAGCTAATCATAAGTTTTTTGCCACAAGTTAAAAGTTTTGTAGCAATAGTAATCTTTTAGCTACAATAAATTATTCAAACCAAAATATTGTAGCTAAATAAATATTTTTTTCTTCAAGTTATAAAAGATCGTGACAATAGTTGGCTTAACAACTACAATTAGTTATCATGACAAAATGATACGGCCACAGATTTATTTGTATGATAAAATTTTATAGCTAAATATATATTTTTGCCACGAGTTAAACTTACTGTAGCAAAAGCAACCGTTTTACCCCCGATAAACTATTTGAAACAAAATGTTGTAACTAAATAAATATTTTTACTTCAAATTATTTTAAAAAAAAACATAACAACAGTTGGCTTAATAGCTACAATTAATTGTCATGATGAAATTATATAGTCACTGATTTATTGCTATGATAATATTTCGTAACTAGTCACATATTTTGGCCACGAGTTAAAATTTATAGCAAAAGTAACCTTCTAGCCGTAATAAATTATTTAAAATAAAATATTATAGTTAAATAAATATTTTTGCTTTAAGTTATAAAAGAAATATTGCAATAGTTAGCTTAATAGCTGCAGTTTGTTGTCATAATGATTAAATGATATAGCCACAAATTTATTACTATGATAAAATTTTGTAGCTAATTATACATTTTTTCTACGATTGAAGCTCTCTATAGCGTAAGTAACCTTGTTACCAAACTAAATCTGTTTAAAATTAAATGTTGTATCTAAATAGGTATTAATGAGAAACATATATTTTTAGACGTTCCCAAAAATAATAATCGACAAAACATATCTCTTTTGTATATATGTGTATCATATACATATAATACACATATTTTATATACTTGGCTAAGGAATGCAATTAGTTTTACCCAACCGTTCAATTTAATATTTTTCCTAAACTAATTTTCTTCAAGTTTTAAAAATTATGGCAATTTTTAGCTAATAAATAGATATAATTATTTTTTATGAGAAACGGCATATCCACAATTTTATTGATATGATAAAATTTTGTAGCTAATCATTAATTTTTTTCCATGAGTTAAAACTAACCATAAAAATAGTAAACTCTTAGCCACATTAAACTATTGGAATAACATCTTGTAGCTAAATGAATATTTTTGCTTCAAGATATATAAAAATGTGGAAATAGTTGTTACATTTTTATATAATTTTCATATATTTAATTACATTAAGTATTATGAATTTAATATTGTTGATATCTAAGTCCATAGAAAATTAATTATAATTTTATTAAATAAATATAACTTGTAAGTTCAAACTATAACTAAAAAACAATGAAACTATTTACAATTAACGTGTGAATAAAAATTATATAGAATTTAAACAATTATAATCTTGTAACAAGTTAGAGAAATATTTTAATTAATTAATTTTTAATATAAAGAGTTAGATTTTGGTATAATAGAGAAAAATTAATAATCGTATGCAATTAAAAAATTTATTAATTTCAAATATATAATTAAAATGTAAACAATACTCTTTAATAATAGATCATTTGTTTTACAACCTGATCTTTCTATAATAGTCATCTTTTAGACCATTATTTCACTGTAACAATAAGTTTTCTTTGGAATTGATTTTTATTTATATTTTTGTAACGACCCGACCGGTCTTTCATGAGTTACCTTTTCGTTTACCCCATTTCTGCTTCTTATTGCCTTATTCAGCTGTATTTTGTATTATCGGGTTGGTTGGCTCGAGTTCGGAGAGGTTTTGGTAAGGCTTGAGCTACTTAGTCTCTTTTGAGTGAGCTTAAGTTAAAGCAGTCAACCGGATGTTGACTTATGTGTTAAAGGGCTCGGATGTGAGTTCCAATGGTTCGGATAGTTTGGGGAGGTGATTTGAGACTTATGAGCGTGATCAGAACATATTTTGGAGGTTCGGAGTGGATTTAGGCTTGAATTGGCGAAATTGAAATTTTGACGTTTTCTGGTTGATACGTGAGATTTTGATATAGGGGTCAGAATGGAATTCCGGGAGATGCAGTAGGTCTGTTGTGTCATTTGGGATGTGTGCACAAAATTTCAGGTCATTCGGACGTGGTTTGGTAGACTTTTTGATTGAAAACAGAATTTAGAAGATTTAGGAATTCTTCCCGGAGTCTGTACACCCCCAGTGAGAACGGGTACCCAGTGTGATATGTGATATAGCCCGAGGGGCTGGTGTTTTTCCATGTTATTGCCCGAGGGGCTGATTCTGTTGACATTGTGCCCGAGGGGCGGATTTTATGTGTTTCCATTTTCTCGCTGCTTTACATTTACTTGTTTAATTGTTAAAAAGGTATTTTTATAAGATTTACTGTTTTATTGCATTTTATTAGTTTTACTCTGCCTCTTTATAGCATGTTGTTGTGTTTTTACGTGATTTCTTATCGCTCAGTCTTCATTTATTGTTATTACTCACTGAGTTGGAGTACTCACTTTACTCCATGTCCCCGGTGTACAGATTCAGGAGCTTCGGGTCCCGTCAGTGAGGGTTGATTTCTCCCAGCAGGCTATTCGGAGTCCACTAGGTAGCTGCTCGGCGTTCGCAGCTAGTGTTTCTCCCTCATATCTTACTTTCTATTCTAGTTTTGTAATAGACTGTATAAACTCTTTCAAACTCTTAGATACATATTTAGATGCTCATGACTGATGACACCCCGATGTCGGGTTGTGTTAGTTTTCGCAAATTGTGCTATTTCGCTGTTTCTTTTGGGATTTTATCATGTTAATTTCTTAAATTGTGCAATTTTAATTGTTAAAATAAATTGGGTGTTATGTATGTCTATAAAATCAATATCTATAAAAGGCAACAAATTGTTAGGGGTCGTTTGATACGATGGATAAGGAAAATAATTCCGAAATAAAAATTTAGTACCGCCATATTCCTTTTTTGGTTACTAATATTGGGATATGTTATCCCAAGAGTAAAAATGTCAGGATAACTTATACATGCCAGTGGGTAGAATTGTAATCCCAGAATAACTTATCTCATGATAAAACAGTAAAATTGACAATCCCAAGATTGATACGATATACCAATCAGTCAACAAAAAATAATACTAGGACAATTAATCCTCGCATACCTAATCTCATCATAACTTGTGTTCAAACCAAACGATCCCTTATAGATGTATAAGTATTGCAACTAATTCTAAAAAATATTCTATTTATACTTTAAATGAATATTTTATTACAATTTAATTTTTTCTACAATCTAAACTCAAAACATTATATACACAATAGCTTAGTTCCCATTTTATTTATTTGTTTTTTTGCTAGCAAAATTTTATTATTACTACATTAGTTTTGTTTTTAGTTTTTTACATAATATCGTGTAGGTATTCATTTGTGTGCAAAAGTATATGAAAAGTTAAAGGCAAAGTTACAAATAAAAAATATAAACGAAAAAAAAAAAGAAAAAGATTAAAGCCCAAATCTCTCCATTCCCTTAAGACCTAAAATATTTAGACTCCCAACCCCTTCCCCCCCCAAAAAATATCCGCACATCTCCCGCTCTAACCTTTCCCCACTCTAAGCAACTATCCCTAAAACCCTCGTTCTTCTTGTTTTAGAAAACAGAAATTGTCAAGGTATGGCCCCCCTAGTTTTTTTTTTCCTTCTTAATTATTTCGATTTTTGCCATGCTTTCCTAGGATTCTTGATCGAGAATAGTTCCTTTCACTTTCATCATTATATTATGACAGTGAAATGGCAATCCCGACTTTAGCTATATTGATAAGTGCCAAGAATTTAAAAGATTGCCAAATTCAAAGCAATGAATTGGGAATCTCTCCTATTATGAATGGAGGGCCTTTTTCGTATATTTTAATTCCTATATTTGCCTTTTGTAATCTGTTTAAATTAGTTTGTTGTATGGAAATTAGTAGTTGAATCTTAATTCTGTAGTACTAAGCCTGAACAAGCCTTTTATATTGCCTATGTTTGCCTTTTGTAATTTGTTTAAATTAGTTTTTCTATTTTCTTGTATATTGTATATTTTTCATTACCTTCATTTGCGGATTGAGGATCTTAAATGGCTTTTTGGGTTGTACCCAGTTTACAGTTATATGCACACACAAAAAACTATACTAATAAATCTTCTCTATTAGAGTAAGTACTGTTCACAGTTGTAGTCGCTAATATCTATGTGAATACTTGCAGAAAGTAAATGAGTTGGTGAGGCACAATATTCACCCAAACTTGATGATCAGTTGAGTGGATACAGGGTGAGTATATGCATTCATTTGATGTACAACTTACTAAATAAATGGTCATATGGAAATGCATCTTCGCTTCCTATATATTTTTGTACTTCTTGTGGAAGCTAGCAATGATGCAAACAGGTGAAGAAGAGTTGGTTGTTAAAATATTACCATTCCTTTATTTCTAAAACTTCAATTCAACGATTAAGATAAATCCATAACTCCTAAATACTTCTAGAAGCTATCCAATGAATTTATTGAGATGGTGGAAAAACTTCTCAAATATGCCGTATAAATACTCCAACAGCTTATAAGGATGAAATTATGGGATACATTAGCACAACCATTTGTGGGAATATGCTCCAAATTTATGTTGCAGTATGGTGATTAGGTTCATTCTTTTTAAGTAAACCCGAATTTGTCTTTTCAGGCACTTGTGTTATGGGCATCAATGTAGAAACAAACAAGTGTAATAATCATGAGGTATGTATGATACTTCACTCTTTCTGAAAACAAAATCAATTGGATATACTGCCTAGTGAAGGATGAAATGTTTACAAAATTCTTGTTAAAATCTTTAGGACTTTTGAAATTTTATTTAGAATAATAATATTTTACTCTAGTAATGTTTGTTATATGAAACGGGTGTGATGTTGATCTGGTTTAGCTTATGCTCTTTTCTTGAGCAGATAAATATGAGAATATAATTTTTTTGGCAGTTACGAATGTAAGCACGTGATTTTTGCCCTATATGAGAATTACTCCCAAAAAATTCAAAAATAAAAT